TATTCCAGAGAATGAGTCTGAAATAACCTGTCATGTCAATTTAATGCATTCAAATTTAGCAATTACTAAGGATTACAGTACAAAATTGTCACAACAAACTAATAAAGATGAAAGTTTGCAATTGTTAAAGAAATATTATTATGAAGGATGGCCAAAAAGTAAAAACAAAGTTAGTCAATTAGTGAAACCATATTGGAATGTACAAGCTGAAATACATGTAGTAAAGGATTTGTTATTTAAAGGATCAAAATTAATAGTACCACAGTCTATGTATAAAGAAATGTTGGATAAAATTCATGAAGGTCACCAAGGAATAAATAAATGTCTTAAATTAGCTAGAGATTCTTTATATTGGCCAAACATGTCAGTTGATATTAAAAATTTAGTAGAACAATGTCTTATATGTGCAAAATTTAAACCTGCTAACCAAAAAGAGCCATTACAAAATTTTGAAATTAACAAATATCCATGGCAACAAGTTGGTATTGATTTAATGTACTTTGATGGTCTTTCTTATTTAATTGTTACAGATTACTATTCTAAATACATAGAAATAGCTTTGTTAAATAAGAATAGTACAGCCAAAAATGTAATTACACATTTAAAGTCGATTTTTGCCCGTCATGGTATACCTTTGTCATTAGTGTCTGACGGTGGACCTCCTTTCCAATCTTTAGAATTTAAAAATTTCTTACATGAATGGGACATAGAACATGTTGTTACTAGTCCATATCATGCACAGTCTAATGGTCAAGCTGAAAGTTCAGTTAAAATTGTCAAAAATATGCTGAAAAAATGCAAAGAAAATTCGTCTGATCCTTATATAGCTTTGTTGCAATATAGAAACACACCTAAGAATAATTTACCGTCCCCAGCTCAACTCTTAATGTCTAGGAATTTAAGAGACAATGTCCCTAAGTCGTATAAGAAATTAAAACCAAAGGTAGTAACATTTAAAGATTACAAAGAATGTGTAACTAAGAATAATGATTGTAAGTCTAAATATTATAATAGAAGTGCTAAGCCTTTACCATTGTTATATCCCAATGATCATGTCTACTTCAAAAGACAACCTAGTTGTAATTGGGAACAGGCTATTGTCAAGCAAAGGCTGGCAAATAATAGGTCATATGTCGTTGAGGATGTCAATGGAGTTAGGTATAGGAGAAATAGGATTCACTTAAGGCATAAGTTCTCTCCTATGCTATCCAACTCATCGTCGTCGTCGTCTTTGTCATCGCAAGGGAGAGAGGATGGTGACAGTCAGAAGGCTGGACCTCAAGAACTCTCATCTCGATCCTCAAGTAGTCAATTTGTTACACGTTCAGGTCGTATTGTAAAGCCCACAAGAAGGCTAATAGAAGAAATAGATTAAGATAAGAAATATATTTTGTAATCTTATATGTTGTAAATTAAGTACCTAGTCAAGTTATATAAGTATAAGTCGTTTATAATATTGTCAAGTTGTCATAGTGATAAGTCTGTTTTGTAAAGGGTTAATTTAAACTTAACAAGGGGGATGTTGTATTGTCTATGATTAGTATTACTAATCAGTGTTGCACTATTATTGTCTATGTCGTCATATCACTATAAAGAGGGTGGCCGAGCGAGTGTCGGCCATTGACAATGTAACTCTGGTGCAGTGAGCTGCAGGACTGTGTAACGTATAAATAAAGTCAAGTATCCAAGATCCAAGTCTTTCAATCATATTACAGTAGGTACCAAGGTAAATTACCGAGTTATAAATACCATCTAAGTTTATGTAAAATCTACTGACATATTTTGAAGGAAAACATTGTGAAGAAACTTAGATTTATCTGTATTTATTAGTTTGATATTGCCAATACGCCTTGAGCAAGCATAGTGATTAATTGCTCATAGCTTTTTTTGTTTATTACTTCTTCATGAAGGAAATCGCCTTGGTAGCAGATAACATTTATATGCTCATGAACAAAGGCTTTGAGTAATCTTTTGTGGATTAAAAAAACGTTACATAATTTAAAGTTTATATTTATGATGTTGTTAACTTAAAAATAATAAAGTAGGTAATCTATAAATCTTGGTTGGCAGTTACATAGCACGTGTTTGTTTAACCTTTAAGGACGTTTACGCAGACACATAAACAAGCTGTAAACTCCTACCTAGGACTATCTAAGTCCTAATCAGGAGTCCAAAGTTTTTAAATAAAGACTTTTTGTTTTAATTCTTAGCCAACACTATTGTCTGCGTGGCTAGCAGAGCGTTTTTAGTATGTACTTGATCTTACAGATCACGAGGAAGGACGTTTCAGAAGTGACGCAATAAATAATTTTCGTGGAACAATTACGTATTAAAACGTAGGCGTTCTCCAGAGAAGACCTACCTAACAAAGAGCCAAGAGCCCTAATTAAAATATTATTCAAGTTTGTCAGAAGTTTAATATTTTTACCTACAACAAATAGCTTACAAGCCGAAATAGATCTAAACTTTAGATCAGCTTAAATTAAATTTTCTTCGCATTGCTAAAAGCCTTCGAAATCCTTTATTTCCCGGAGGAGTAAACAAAGGCCGACTGGTTGAAACTATAATAGGAATTTTGATTCCCATTAAATGCACAGTGAAAGCAGTGTCTGAATAAACAATATATAATATACTTATACTATGTATGTAACAGGTCACAATACATAGTCTTTAAATGTAAAAAATATTTGAGTAGACCAGAAATTCCTGTTCCAATTCTAGGTGTGATGTGATTTATTGGATAGTATAGTTTTGCACCACTGGAGCTATTTAACGAGGTTAGCAAGGTAGTTCCGTTGTTTAAATCTGGCGATGACAATGATCCCAATAATTATAGGCCGGTATCAATTTTACCAGTGCTTAGTAAGGTGTTTGAAAAGCTAATGCTTTCTCAGATGCTACGACACTTTAACATAAATTCCATCTTTCATGACCAACAATATGGGTTAACCAAGGGTCGATGCACAACTGACGCCGGTGTAGCTCTACTTAAGCATGTTTTTGCCTCATGGGAAAAGTCAAACGACGCTATTGGGATTTTTTGTGACCTGTCTAAAGCTTTTGATTGCGTTGAACACGCGACACTGTTGCTGAAGTTAGAACACTACGGCATTCGAGGGGTATCTCTCAATTTTTTAAAATCATACCTGCAGGATAGGCAGTTCAAAGTACAAGTAAATAAAGTGAACTCCCAGGGTACTAGCATATCTATGGGCGTACCACAGGGCTCGATATTAGGTCCTTTCCTGTTTTTAGTGTACATAAATGATTTTTATTTCAACGTGAACCGGGAATGGTATTATTTGCTGATGACACATCGTTGATTTTTAAAATAAATAGACGGACAGATAATTATGACGACGTAAATAATGCTATTACGAAGGTTCATAATTGGTTTACAGTTAATAATTTAGTCCTAAACGACAAAAAGACAAAGTGTATACGTTTCAGTTTGCCAAATGTTAAAAGTAACGAATGTGACATATTATTAAACGGTAATAAATTGGAATTTGTAAAACAAACTACTTTTCTGGGTATAACCATAGATGACAAACTACAATGGGGGCCCCATATCACATCTCTGGCAGGACGGTTGAGCTCTGCAGCATTTGCTGTCTGGAAGATCCGACAGCTAACAGATGTGGACACTGCAACACTGGTGTACTTCAGCTACTTTCATAGCATTATGTCGTATGGCATCTTGTTGTGGGGACAAGCTGCTGACATTGGGTCTATCTTTGTCTTGCAAAAGCGTGCCATCAGAGCTATTTACAACCTAAAGCGTCGTGAGTCTCTTAGAGAAAAGTTTAGAGAGATCAATATTATGACCGTGCCATGTCAGTTTATTTATGAAAACATTATGTATGTTAGGAAAAACTTAAAAATATTCGATAAGGTGTCAGATAGACATAATTATCAAACTAGACATAGAGATAGATTATGTCAGCCATTATTTAGATTGGCAAAGGTACATAAGTCGTTCATGGGATTCTGTGTTAAATGTTATAACAAAATCCCAGGCGAAATACAACAATTAAATGAAAGAAATTTTAAATTATGTGTAAAGAAAACTTTATGTAGAAAAGCATACTACACACTGAATGATTACATTGTAGATAAAGATGCTTGGAGACATGCTGGTCCTGATCCACAGGATAGCAAATCTACACCAAAATAAATAACGTTCCAGTGGATTTTGCTTGAACGGGACTTCTTCATTTTAGTGAAATTGCATTACATTGTATAACTATAACTTGATAAATTTGTAAATGTGAGTGCCCTGTAACCTATTATAATTGGTTAGACTAGCAGAATGTCGGTCCTTATAACAGCTTGGAGTTGTCATGCTCACTGAAAGGTCACACTGGCGGTGGCATGGGCGCTGGATCGCTTAATTCCCTATAATATGGTTGAGTTGGGCGATGCTGGTGTACGTGTCATGCTCGTGAACGAGCGCCGTCAGTTGGGACTGGTCAGCTCCGGACTGTCTATTGTCCTTAAGGTTACTTTATTTTTATATTTGATTAAATATTAGTGTTACACTGTTCTCACATAATTGAACCAACTGTTTGTAAAAAGAATCTGTATGTGAAACTGATTTAAAAAGAGTAACCATGGAGTTTCTTGCTCGTTCTTCTCCATCGGAATCTACACTTTGGAACGAGCAAATAGCTTCACTAAGAGGACTGACCGACAGACTGACAATATAGCTTCAAAATTTTTGTTTGACGTTCAAAAGTGCCTGTAAAGGTCTAATTGGAATAAATGATTTTTGACTTTTGACTTTTCTCGTCTATTTTCGAATCATGTCGGGGCTAATATTATTATAAAGTTAATAGCAACATGTGTAACAATCAAATCGACTTACGACACACTTTTTCCGTAAAAATTCAGGTGACTTTGATATGTGTGTAAACTCAAAAGAGAAAGTCTCTGTATTTTTATGAAATTTTTGTAGGTTGTTATGTTTTGTATGTTAATAAGAAGTGGCTGATACTTACGTGGAATTAAAGTTCTCCAGCACGATGCTGCCTTTTTTCTCTTCGTTACCCATTTTGTTTTATTCTGTAAAGAAATAGCAAAGGTTAGAATCTTGGTTTGTAGTTTGAAATAATACTTGTTTTTTACTAGACAACAACCAGCTATGATATTAATTTTGTGAAACGACCGTCTGCGGCGTAGTGGAGTTAGCTAGTACCTCTGCTAGGTACTTCAATGTTGTAAACATTTTGCTTTAAGTAGACTTGGGAATTTTATTAGTGGTAATTTTGCAAGTTTAAGAAAAGATCTTTTAATAAGATTTATTTTGGTGTAGCTTTATGTCTTATTGCCGTCTCGTTGGCGTACTAAAACGTTGTGTGTGTTTATTTAATGTTTGTAAAGACAAACAAGCAGACAGATTATGATAATGGTAAGCAATCGTCACCCACTGACACCCGCAACCGGGATTGCTGGCCTATTAGGGATTAGGGGTTCGGAGATTAAGGGATTAGGGATTAGAGATTATTCACTCACACGGCCAAACGCAACGTTGTTGTCGTGTTCTTATAGAACTATGATTTTTTTCTATGTCTGGTGGTCCTTTGTTGGGCGTTTCAGTAACATTGGCAAAAAAATAAAATAGGTATACAGGAAATCCTTAATTCAATGTTCCCTATATACGAAAGCTCAACACTCCATACGAATCTAGATTTTTGAAAGAGCATGATGATGAATAAATTGTTTTATCTATTTTGAGGTTTCAACAGAACCTGTTTAGTATATGGTTCAATTAAAAGACATATTATGACATGAGTAAAATTTCGTATAGTTTTCTAAAAACATTTCGTTTAGTAAGTATTAAGTAAATAGGTACAAAAGAAAAGCCCGGGACGTGCAACATTCTATTTTTAATAAGTCTTAAAGTAAAATGGCCGTAGATCCAACGCAACAAAAGCTTAAAACTTCATCATCATTAGGTGACGTAACGACGAAAATACTTTCCATTAATCTCATTATAATCATGTAATGACTCATAAACTCAGCCTTTTCATTTACGCGTAATACGTAAAAATGAAGCAAAAAATTAATGCATTGTAAGAATTATTTCATTAAGGTAAGTCCTAAAAAGAGAAAACATTGAAATCCAAACTTTATGAAGATAGACGATAAAGTTTAAAATTATAATGATAAATGTGAATGTGTTTATATAACGTGGGTCGTTCTTGACTGTTGTATACATAATACAAAATTTCCTTTTGCGATACGTTTCAGTTGCTTCACATTTTGAAAGTTTGGGTAAAACTTCTATTCATCAATTTATTTCTACTTATTAGCTTCTACCAGTGGTGTCTCCAGACTATATCTGTCTATGTGTCAAATTTCATTAAAATCCATTTCATCATAATCAATCTATAAGTGCCCACTGCCGAGCAAAGGCTCACACGGAGAAGGTTTGAGCATTAATCACCAGGTTTGCTCAGTGCGGGTTGGCGATTTCAAACTTATAATTAGAAATCATAAGTCCAGGTTTCCTCGCGATGTTTACCTTTACCGTTTGTCAGTGGTGTCTAAATAACCATATAAGAAAGAAAAAATAACTTGGAAAAAGTCACATTGGTACTTTCCAGGTTTCGAACCTACACCCTCATGCATGAGAAGCGGGTGCCTTAACCTCGGGGCCACCACGACATGAAAATTCATTTAAGAAGTAGTTTTTAGTTGAAAGAGTAGTTGAGAGAGTAGTTATTAGTAAGATTATTTTGATGCTGGGGTCGCGGGTTAATTGCAATAAGGTGTCGCGGCCTCGGCCTGAAGCAGGTGAAGGAGTTTTTAGTCAGTAAGAGTCTGACACTCCCTCTCGCCATACCCTGTGCGAGAGAAGTCATTCATGGCAGCAGTCGTTGGCAACATGTTCCCCGACAAACTGCGCAGCAACGTCGCGAGACATTGTGTAATGTTGCTAAACACGTTGCGCGTCAATTACGCATAGTGTTGTATTAAAATTAATTTTACAAGATAACAATTGTAGGTGCGCACCACGTGCGCACATTGACGCGAACGTAATCGGTGTCAAAATAAGCCACTAATCTAGAACACGGTGAAATGAGACATTGAAGTTCGATACACTAGATGTGGCAAAAAAGTATCTTATTAGCTATTTTGTTTATACTCAAGTAGATAAAAACTGTATAACATTTCGTTATTGATATAGAGGCAAAAAATTTGAAACAAATGGACTTTATAAAATTTTCAAACAGCAGGTAATTATTATGGAGATCAAAACACATGACGGCAGTTATGACGTCTTAACGTTCTATAAATAAATAAGACCTTTTGTTTATTTTCGTGGATTCCGACATAACATAATGCTATGCGATAACAATCACTTAATTTTGGTTCCTAGTAAATTAGATCTTGTTTTAGATATATCGTGAACCATAATGGATGATTCACGGCACCGGTCAGATTTCGCAACCGGAAGAGAAGAGAGCGAACAATTCGCTCATGACTCATTAGTTTAGCGGTGTACTGGGTTGTTTACCGCAATGCCGTTTCGTGTTGTATTGAAAGTTTTATTGCTGAGTTCAGTTTCTTTCTTTCTTTCTTTCTTTCTTTATTTGAACGCACTAACCTCAGGAACTACTGGTTCGAATTAATTAAAGCTCTGTGTATTTCATAGTGCATTTATCGAGAATGGCTTAAGGCCATAAACCATTAAACCACCAATAGGAACCAAGCAAGAAATTGTGTACTTTAAAAATAAGCTAAATAATGCCAGACTTATTCTATAAATAAGAGTAAATTTATTTAGGAGTGAGTGTTATTCAAATGGAATTGTTTAACCATTACAAAACACAATACATATTAATTCATCAAACCCCAAGCGAACGCTGGCGTTCACGCATCAATTGTGTTACTATTGTATCTCAAATAACACTATTGAAACGTTAAGTTTAAAAGTGGAAAAAAATCTTAAAAATCTTTTTGAGCCCTCACTGAAGCCCCATCCAGTCTTTTATATGTTGGGAAGTGTACGCCGAGCAGTATGATAAACGAGTTCAACTTTTTTCGCCGCCAAACATTTGGAAACGAGCCCCTATTATACTTTTTTTGCAAAAACCGGACTGGCGCGGACGACGGTAATTGGAAATTGGAATTTTGTACGATGAAAATTATAATTTCAAATAACTTTGAGTATTTTTTTGTTAGCTGCATAAACATCTAGAGGCGTGTTTTGTTCTCTGATTGCTGTTGTTTAGTTGGGAAGTATGTCAATTTGTATTGGGGTACTGATCTGAATGAGAACTTTGTGGTTGTAGAGCTAATAACGGAATGCATTTTTTTATTATTGAAATGGTAGCCAAACGTATCTTTGTGGTCTTCATTCCATTTTAACAATGAGTGTATCTATTTGTCTTGAGCACTTAGAAGTTATACGTCCATGTTTCCTCAGGATGTTTTCTTTCACCATATATTTGTGGTCTGAATAATCTTAGAACGCACATATAACTGAGAAAATGTCTTGCCAGGTTACGCACCTGTGCCCGGAGCATGAGAATTATTAACTTCCGGGCCATCACGAGTCGTCGATGATTTTTATTTGAACATCGATGATAATAAGAAACATTTGTTTTAATTGGTTTAAATAGTGTTTTAACCATACAATGAACGTTACAATAGAGTAAAAAAATATTTACTGTATCATATTTTATGCATTACAAGGTTTACTGCTTAGTGGCTATGAAAGTATAATTAAAGATTTTCTCATATGCTACTTTATTTGCACCTTAACTTAGGTAGGTACTCGTAAAACAGAAGAATCACAAGTATTTTACTGACCTCGGAGAAATTTTATTACGTCTTTTGCGAAGAGCGTGCCAAAACCAGCTGAAGTGCAACGTATCGCGAGTCCGATTTCCGGGTGTGTGTGAACCTAGCTAATCATTGTACAGCAGATCAAAAATAAAAGAGAGTTCTTTTCGCATGCAGCTGAGTTCTACAGTTCCTGATAGTTTTTAGCAATAGTTCTAACGTTTTTACCTTGAAAAAAGCCGATTGCCGAAATGATCTGCTAACTTCCCGTAGCAGATCATTTGACAGCAAATAAAAATTAATGCCAGTTCTTGTCGGATGCAGCTTAGTTCTATAGTTCCTGATAGTTTTTAGCAATAGTTCTGACGTTTTCACCTTGAAAAACGCCGATTGACGAACTGAACTTCCCGTAGCAGATCATACGACATCAGATCAGAAAGAAATGCGAGTTCCTTTCGCATGCAGTTGAGTTCTACTGTTCCTGATAGTTTTCAGCAATAGTTCTGACGTTTTTACCTCAGAAAATATTTATGGACAGAAAAAGGTACTAACTTCTCGTAATAGATCATTTTGCTGAAGATTACAAGATACAGATAAGAGAGTTCTAATACGAATTCATAATCTGCCAGCACAACACCGTGAGTTCTCGACTCGAATCGAGTTCTGTGTTCTCTGTTAGAGTTCTGATACAAATTCATAAGAACCGAAAGAGTTCTAGCGTTAATCAAATATTTGAAAACATGAAAAATGAATTTTTCGACTTTTAAACAATCTACCATGATCTGCTAGCACCGGAACGTGAGTTCTGGACTCGAATCGAGTTGTATGTTGGAGTTCTGATACAAATTCATAAGAAACGAAAGAGTTCTAGCCTTTAGCAATAGATCCAAAAGAGTTCTAGCCTTTAGCAATTATTTGAAAACATGACAAATGAATTTTTCGACTTTTAAACAATCTACCATGATCTGCTAGCACCGGAACGTGAGTTCTCGACTTGAATCGAGTTGTATGTTGGAGTTCTGATACAAATTCATAAGAAACGAAAGAGTTCTAGCCTTTAGCAATAGATCCAAAAGAGTTCTAGCCTTTAGCAATTATTTGAAAACATGAAAAATGAATTTTTCGACTTTTAAACAATCTACCGTGATCTGCTAGCAACGGAACTTGAGTTCTGGACTCGAATCGAGTTGTATGTTGGAGTTCTGATACAAATTCATAAGAAACGAAAGAGTTCTAGCCTTTAGCAATAGATCCAAAAGAGTTCTAGCCTT